CTCGGCCTAACAAATACCCATTCATACACATACACAATCACACTATCCCAACCTCAATCTCACATTCATTCACTCAAAGACATACAATAACGATACATTTCATTCTTATTCCCGATACACACTCTATACCCCCCAGGTCCAAGACATGTACCCGCCCTCTACAGGGGGCAGCCCATGCCCAAACCCAGGAGGTAAACCCATTCATTCCTGAGTGGAGAAGAGCCAACACCCCAGACCCGGCCCAGGCCATGCCCCGCCGACAGGATACCCCCCCACCATGAAGAGGACACGCCACCGACCACCCCCACACACCGCCAACAACCAAGCACGCACCCCCAGCCGACCGCCCGCCAGGCCCCGGCAGCCACCCCGGCCAGCGGGCCAACCATGGCACCCAAGAGCCAAGCTCAGGGGGTCCAAACAACCCCAGGGAGAGCACAGCGCCAGCACCGCCCATGGCAACCCCCAGACCCTGAACCCCCACATAGTCCTGGTCAACACCCGACGGCCTGCCCTTCTCCCGGACCCCACCCCCGGAATGGCAGTCAGGGAACTAGGTGGGTAGGAAGAGGAGAAAAAAATAAAATAAAATAAATAAATAACTAAAAATAAGACCCCGACACATACACCCCCACCCCTAGATGTGCTGTTGATGTGTGTTGTTGTATAGTGCCATTAAAAAGGAAAGAAGAAGGAGCAAAGGCTGGCATGGTGCCAGTTTCCCCTCCACCCCAACTCTATCCAAACCCTAGTGTCTAAATGCAACCGTTGTGAGCACAGGCACAGGGGGTGAGAGTAAGGTCATCCCACCACCCATAGCCATGTGCCCACCTCAAATTCCTATATATGAATGTCATGAGGATGTTATGAATGAATGTCTAAGGTGTACAATAAAATTGAGTCCCAGGTGGCTATGGTCAACAAAGATGTAAAATTGTTGCAGCACACCCGAGCCCAAACAACCCTAAATGTATGGAATTGAAATGAAGAGGGTGGAGGTGCATGGTGAGGGATGGGGAGAAATAACTGTGAGAGCAAATGCTCCCACAGGGGGTCAGCTCCCCCACTGACCCAACAGCCCCCCCCCCCCCCCCAGCCCCCCAAGGTCCACCCAGGGATTGAGGCCAAGACACCTCTCCATCTGGACCGACCGTCAGGCCCGCTGAGCTCCAGACCAGAGAGGGACAGAGCCCCGAGGGCCGCCAGAAGCTGCACCAGCAGCCTACACACCCGAGGGCCACCAGGACCCCCACAGATCGCAGTCAGCCCGCTACCAGATGGAGCCAAACCCCACCAGGACGACCCGGCCAAGAGCGCCCGCCCAACCGCCGACAGTGCCAGGAAGCACCGGGATCGAGCCCCCACCACAGGAAAGGGGCCAGCCAGCCGGCCATGCACAGTCCCGGGCCGCCCCCAAGGACATCCACCCCATCCCCACTCCAGAAGAAATACTACACCCACCCCTCATTCGGACATCTCTCAAAACACATAGCACACTAGACACCTAGGCTGGGTCAAACTACCCCCTCCTAGGGGCTACTGGTCACGCCCCCAAACACCCAACCCCCCAGCCCATGACCCACAACCCACCAGCGAGCCGAAGGCCCCCGCCCAGAACCGGGCACCAGAACGCAAGCCGGCCCAGAGCCCGGCAACCCGCCCGCCAGAGCCCAAGATCCCCGAACCCCACAGGCCCAAGCCCGGGGGCGACAAGCCCCCAGAACCCCAAGCCCCCGCGCCCACCCCGAACCCACATCAGCACAGCCAGGCTACCAGACCGGTGACCCACGACCGCCGCCATAGACCACCTGAGGGCCTGCATGCAGCCACCAGCAGACATCCCCCAGAACCACCCAGGCCCTCCCCAGAGGGAAAGCAGTGCCCCCCTGCCCAGGTACCCCCAAGAGCCCAGCCCCCGGCAACCCCCCCGGGGCCCCAAACCCATACACCCACCTCCACATCAACCCCAAGGCCCCACAAGGTCAGATTGGGCCAAAGTAACTTTAAAGGAAACCAGTTCAGAGTGGTTATGTAAGGTGACCTCTGGGTCAGAGGTCATGGTCGGGAGAGCACATCTTCATGCTATAAGTGTTACCAGGGCCCCACCCTGGAGCCAGCCCTGGGGAGGGGCTCCTCAGCAAGCACATGTTGACTGGGCATCTATCCATGCGATGACTGTATGCTTCGGACACTCAGGTGAAGAGAGGATCTGAGCGCTCAGCTGTCTGAGCTGGATGAGATGGCAGGGGAAGATGACAGACAGATTCAGTAGACCAAAGTGTGTAGTGAGTGTTTGCTGGGAACACATGGCAGAAGAACCCATCAGAAGGATCTTCAGCTCCATCCTCTGAGAGAGCTTCAACTGCATCCCAGCAAAGGCAGGAGCCATTGAGTCCAAGTGCACCATGTTTCGTAACTTCATTGTTGAGGCGACTGCCTTAAGCTGTGGCCACAAGGTTGTCAATGCCTCTCACGGTGGTCATCGTAGAACTCAGCGGTAAACAACATGAGGATGGGAGGCTGTCAAGCTGAAGGAGTCCTATTGTGACTTATGACTCCAGAGGCATGAGGGGTATTGGTGGGCCGAGCAGGCTGCCACACTGGCAGTTTCTGAGGCAAAAAGTTGGATATTGGATGTAGGAATCCTCCTGGAAGAGGTGGCTGCAGAAAGAGATGTCTGGGCCTCCCTCCTCAGTCTGCTGCCCAGGTGAGCTGACTCCAGAACAAAAAGAAAATAAAGTATGGATGGACGGTACAAGAGTTCAAAAAGCTGAATCTTTTCGTGTTAGTTCAATCTCTTACATTCTGTTTAATGAGCGACCGGTCCTTCTAGGTGGCATGCCGATTTAGTAAGATTTCAAAGAGCAGAAAGACCTTAAATGATTTCACAGAATCCTAATGTATTTGAAGGAAAAAATGTTTGCAATAAATAAAGAAAAAGCAGGAAGACAATTATGTGAAAGGTTGATAATGAATGTTAGAAATCTAAGAATGATTAGCAATCTGTTAGAAAGTGGAACTTTTCTAAACCATAGACACTTAAATGTTATTTTAATGTTGATTTTTTTTTTTTTTGCCTCATTCAATACTTCATGTTAAACATTTTTAACTTACAGGCAAGTAAGAAAAAAACATAGTGACTCCAGTGTTTGTTTTTTGTTTGGTCACAACATGAACATTTTTTGTATTGAACGCTTTTTGAAGTCACAACATGAAGTTCTCCGTCTGACCAGTAGGTGGCAGTAAATTTAAAACTGCTGCCTCATGTGCACCCAAAGAAGAGTCGACGAAGAACGGAGCTATGAGAGGTTATTCCTTAGGTGAGTGCCAGACATTTATAACAATTTAAACGCGTTTGATGTAGGAAAACAGATCGGCATTCGCTTCTTTATTTAGGAGCTCATTGTGTGTTTATTGCACGTGAACTAAAATGACGAGTCCGCGTGACAAATAGAGCTAACTTCGTTCTTACCTTAATCTGAGATTTAAACTTCAATGCAATTGGTTATTCTTGGTTGATCACAAACGCTTAGTTTTTATATTTAAAAATAACCACAAGATGCATCGAATTTTTAAAGGACGTAACGTAAACAAAACGACCCGTAATTTGTTGTTTTCACGGACGTCTAAGCCACAACTTCCGGTTACGTTTTTAAAATTTATTTTAATTTTATTTTTAATAATTTTGTACCGTTATCCTTTTAGATCATAATAAGTGTAGCTGTTTTTATAATTATGATTATCTAAACATGATCAACTAGCGATTTAAACAATACTTAAATTATAGAGGCTTTTATTTTGAAGGTAAAGTTAAATTTTTATGTACAGAATGGCAAACTTGTTTTTTCATACCAATACAAGATATATATTTTTTTCAGCTAATAATGAAGAAATACAATAAAAAAAAAACAGTTGACATTTTTATTAATTTTCTGGCAAAAATTAAAGTTATTACTTAGTTTAAACTAAGCAATTATTTTAAAAAAGCACTGCATTTATTAAAATGTTAATAGCTGTCAACATTTTGAACCCTAACTGATGAGGAGAGGCTAATTATTTTTACAAACATGTTTCACTTCCAGAATAATTAAATCACTGATTTGCTTCAAGCACACAAAAACAAAGGGTAAACTATGGTACTAAAACCTGGTTAGGAACACCATTATTAAAACTTGAATGGATAAAGATGAATGTGAGGGAGAAATGCATTCATGAATAGTTTTGGATGAATAAATGTGACAATAAATGGAAACGAAACATTAGAACTCTTGTTTTAAGAATAAAAGAACATTTAAGCAACAAAAGGAGCTGTGCCGTATGTTTACCGTAAATGTATATCAGTAAAGTTTTTGACTCTTGCATCTTTCCAGTGGCGGGCTGGAGTGCCAGCGTTCAGAGTTTGGTGGTTCAGGTTCTCGCCATGAGGCAGCTGGGACGACTGAACCCCCGTCACCTCCTGGCTGCTGGATACGGGCAGAGATGGACCGAGTGGTGTCCCAGAACCATTCATATCCGGCAGCTGTGGGGCTGCTCGACCTTCTCTGCGCTGGGCGGTCACAGGACGGCTCTTCGAGGCAGAGACGCCGTCAAGACTTGGTCCGTCCATCATCTGAGGTTTAAAAGCAAGAAGAGCAGTGCTTCTAGAGCGACGCAGGAGGACGACGAAGAGGAGGAGGAAGAGGGCGACCAAGAGGAGAGCGATTATGAAGACGAAGACCCGAGTGTACCTAAAGGTTATAAAGACATAGAGAAATCTGTGCCATGTTTCCGCTATGACGTCATCTTAAAGTCTGGACTGGACATGGCACGCAAGTGAGTCATAAAAATGGATTGTTTTGGATAAAGCCTTGAAGCTCAGAATGATTAACGTTTATTTCTGTTCCAATAGCAAAGTCGAGGACGCCTTCTACAGCAGCAGGCTGAGACTAAACGGACAGAAACTGATCAAGAAAAGTAAAACGGTGAGTGCTGCTTACTGCTGCATTAAAAAAAACACACAAAAAACTCGCTTTTCTTTTTCCTTTAACCCCCGTTTTGTTGCTGCTCAGGTCAGAATCGGGGACACCTTGGACTTTGTGGTGTCGGAGGAAAACGAGACCAAAAAAGTCAAGCTGATGAGGATCGTCGTCAAAAAGATTTTAGTGGAATCTGACAGAGAAAAGCAGAAAGTCTCCTTGAGACGGTGGAAAAACCTGGAGCTCTCCAAGGATGAAGCTTTTAGGTCATGATCTTGTAACTGATGGTAATTTTAAGCGTCAGAAGACTGGATTTAAACCATCTTCAGCACGATGGATCCACAGAGGTTTACTGTTTTTAACTCAACCGTTGCAAACAAACAGTTAAAAGGGGAGAAACGTTTTATTTGGCGCAATTTTACTGTAAGATTCTGCCAATAAATGTACATTTGAAAGTTTTGAATTTGATGCCCTCGTTTATTAAAGTTCTGATTTGCTGTCTGCTCTTTTGAAACTTCTCATCAAATCAAAGGGAAACGATGCAGAATGGTCCGTACTAGTCGTCTCGCAGCTTTGACTACACCAGATTTCAAACTAAAAAGACGAAAATGAACAAAAACATTAGAAAGACTTAAAAAATCTTGAACAAAATAAAATAAAAAATAGCACTGTAGTGATGCACAGAAACACCTTTTTAATCTGGATGTTGCTGTGGAAGAACAACAGGAAGTTAGTAGATTATAACTTTTATTAGAAACAAGTTACCATGATCCATTGTCATGTTAAATTATTTGTATAATATAAACTTCTATAAGAAGGTTTAACATACAGACAAGTTCAAGAATAATCAGGTCAAGGACAATATTTGCGTTTCCGCTTCTGAACACAACCACAGTGGAAATTAGGTTGTTTAATGATCGAGTGAGAACTTCTTTAAATTCAAGTTTCTAAAAAAAAATAAAAAAACATTGCATGAGACTTTTACAGCTCAAATAATGGGTGAGGGATTAACTCAAATGTGTAAAACCGTAAATAAAAATAAAATCTAGACACTATTTTTCTGGTTAAATTCTGCCTAAAAATAATTAGTTTAATTAGTATAAAAATGTCAAAAGCTAAAAGTTGTAGCACCAATCTCCTGAATGAGCCAAACGTTTTGACAAACGGCTAAAAGAGCAGAAAGTATGTAGAAGTGGACTCCCAAGACGATGTGCAACCCCCCCCCCACAAACAGAACAGAATGCTGAATCAGCGTTCACGCCGTTTCAAAGTTAATGCAATATTGTTTAAATCTCTGAATTCAAACATGAACTCTTAAAAAAAAAATTGTAAAAAGAAGCAAAATCTGAGAAATGTTCTATTTCAAATATTCCCCAACATGCCTGTTAGTACATTGTTATTAAAAGAGTGGTGGCACGATGCTACATCAGTCTATGGAAATACGTCACATCACTGATATTAGAGAAACCGTGGGAACTATTATTGTTTTTAAGGCTACAAGTTTTTTTTTTTTTTTGTGGGAACAAAACGTATTAAACAGCTCTAGGAGCACTTTAACCTTTTAAACCCAGGAGTAATAAAACTACCTAAACTAGGGCGGGATAAAGGTGAAGCAGGAGTGAGAATTCAAATATCAGCTTGGCTTCATCCTACATCGGACAGTTCTTTTTTTTGAGTTCAAGTGATTTCAGCTTATATACTGAATTATTTAAGAGCAGGAAGTGCTGACCGGCTGCAGGACACTAGGACACGGTGTTCGACCTCTTGGCCTTTTTAAGGATGTCACATTTCTTACGGTTGGGACGCCGGCAGCGCTCGTCAATGCTCGGCACACATTCGTAGTGCCACACCTCCTCCATCTTGTCCACGGGATACACGGCCTCCACGTAGTGGCGGATCAGCCTCAGCCGCACCGGGTCCAGCTGCTTCTTGTTGCAGGCGCCCGAGTGGTTGTACTGCAACCGCAGGTTCTCCGAGGTGAAGAGCTCGGGGAAGAGACGCACCAGCAGGCGGGCGGCGAAGTTCCCCACGGACAGACTCTGCTGGACGATTTCCCGAACCTCGGCGTCTGACAGCAGGTAGACGGACGGTACCAGGAAGCCGGGTGTAGAAACAGTCAGTTGGTCCAAGGGGATCTTACAGAAATCTTTGCTGCTTTTCTCAGGAGGTATAGACGGAACGTCCAGATCCTCTCTCATGCTGTCTGGATTGAACGGGATGAGCTGGTAGATGAAGTCCTGCTCTGGATCCTGACCGTAAACTTTACGCTGCTGCATGTAGGACCTCCTCTGCTCCGTGTCCCGTCTCCTGCACCTCTCGTCCAGCTTCCCCACGAACTCCAGCATCCACACTCGGTCGTTCTTGGCCTGAGGGTAGACCAGCTGCACGTAATGGCGGATCAGGTTCACGCGGACGGGGTCGAGCTGCTTCTTCCCGAGAGAGCCGCTGCAGTTGTACTGCTTCCTGGCGTTCTCCTGGGTGAAAAGTTCAGGGAACATGAGCACCAGCAACCGGGAGGCGAAGTTGCCGATGGACAAGCTGCATTCATAGTTGCTCCTCAGCTGCTCTCTGGACAAAATGCACTCTCGAGGAAAGGCAAAGTTCGGCGGAGGGATCTCCAGGTTTTCAAAATCCACAGGCGTCAGCAGCGACTTCTTGGACTTGCGGTTAGGTCGCTCACACTCGCCAACTTCAGCGCTGACGGAAACATCTTCAGGAAGGCTCAGCTCGTAGCCGTGGCAGTTCGTGTTGTCAGATTCACTTCCGTTGCTGTTGCTGCGTGGACTCTCCAGAGCGTCCTCCACGTGCTGGACGCACACCTGAAGCCAGCTGTCCTCAGGCACGTTGGGAAAGTTCGCTTCCATGTACCGTCTTATGACTTCCATCTTGTTGGAATCCAGAATGCTGGAGCCTTCGGGCATTTTCCCTTCCTCGAAAACTTCGGGGAAGAGACGGTGCATGAGAAAAACCACAAAGTCCTCGGGGGAGGAGAACTCGTCCAGCTCCTCGGTGGTTTGTGTATTCGAGGCAGCGTCTGACCCCGCCAGGCTGCTCTGCTGGTTTTCCACGGACACCTGCTCCTCCTGACCCTGTTCGTTGATGAAACAATAAGAGTGAGGATCCTCCATTTTCACATCTGCGTCCGACTGCTTCTTCATTAGCCGAGCGCTCTCCGCGTCCCTCTGCGTCCAGAAACGATTAAAGAAGTCATTAATCTGAAGGAGGCACTCTTCCTGCCACACGTCGTCATTCTTCACCGAGGGGTAGCAGACCTCCACGTAGTTACGGATCAGCTGCAGGTGCAGAGGCTCCAGAGTTCTCCTGCTCGCCGTGCAGTCACTAGGGCACTCCATGGCTTTGAAGAGCTCCGGGAAGAGGTGCACGAGCAGCTGACAGCCGAGCTCGCCGGCGCTGGACGTGTGCTCCGTCAGCTGATTCAGCTCATCGGTCGTCAGCAGATACTCGGGGGGAGGCTGGAACTCCGTCACCTTCTCGGCCGGTTTGATCTGCTTCTTTATCCGCATGACTTCCAGGGTCAACGAGTCCACTTTGCTGTGCAGCTGAGTCATGCTGGAGTTCAGCGTGTTGAGGATAAAAAACATTTTCTCAATCAGCGGGTAAAGGCTGGAGTCTGTTGTCGACGTGTGGCCTGATGGGCCTGTGGTAGAGAAGGTCTCTGAGGGACCGTTTTGCTCCGAGTTCTGAAGCCTCAGTGAAAGGACGCTGTTGAAGTTGAGCTGACCGAAGCTGTTGTGACCGACCTGCTGCTCCAGGCTCGGAGTGTTCCTCTTGTCTGAGATCCTGTGGGAGATGCTGAAAAGAGGCTTCCTGTAGGAGAACCTGGACGTCTCCTCATGGTGGTCCCCATTTTCTCCAGCCGTGGTGAAGCAAAGGGGCTCATGTCTTCTGTCCTCGTCCATCAAGCACGGCCTCATCTAGAAAGATTACAAATGTTTAAAAACAACAAAAACATCGAATAGTGTGATTTAAGATGCTCAAAAGAATGCAGCAACAAACACAAGCTTGAGCCTAAACTTTATTTATTTTATATTTTGCTCCAGACTTTTTCTTAAAATGCAAGTTTTTGTTCTGTCAAAAGAGATTTCTGATATTGGTTGTTTATCCCATGACTCTGTTAATTAAACATTTGTTTTTTAGCTGATGTTTTGCCAAATTCGGTCTTTAGTTACTGTATTGTTCATTTTAGTCTTTAGCAGCAGTTGTGCTCCTCTTAGCTATACTCTGCTACTTTTAGCTACAGTTTTGCCCTTTTTGGACAAGATGTTTCTAATTTTAGTGATATTATGTCGTAGGTGGAGGAAAACAGTCGTGGTAACTTTTTTAATGTGGGAATTAAAAGACATGTCCTGATCAAAAATAACACCAAAGATTTGAATTTTAGAGCTGCAGGCCAAAATAATGCCATCCAAAGGAAGTGAAATGCTGCAAAATTGATTCCTAAGATGCTCCAAAACTTTACGCTTGGCACAACGCAGTCAGACAAGTACCGTTCTCCTGGCACCCGCCAAACCCAGACTCGTCCATCAGATTGCCAGATGGAGAAGCGCGATTCATCACTCCAGAGAACGCAGCTACACTGCTCTATATATATATAAATATATATGTATATATAAATACATGTATATAAATATATAAATACATATATATATATGAATATATATATGAATACATATATATGTATACAAATACATATGTATATAGATATATATATATATATACACACACATATATAAACACATATATATGAATATATATATACATATATGTGTACATATTTGTGTGTATATACATGTGCGTGTGTATATTTACACATATATACATATATATTTGTGTGTGTGCATATATATATGTGTGTGTGTGTATATACATATAAATATATATATATATATATATATATATATATATATATATGTATATATATATATGGGCAGCACGGTGGCGCAACTGGTAGAGCTGCTGCCTCTCAGTGAGCAGGTCCTTGGTTCAAACCCCGGTCCAGGGGCCTTTCTGAGTGGAGTTTGCATGTTCTCTCCGTGCATGCGTGGGTTTTCTCCAGGTGCTCCGGGTTTCCTCCCACAGTCCAAAAACATGCATGTTAGGCTGATTGGTAACTCTAAATTGTCCCTAGGTGTGAGTGAGAGAGTAAATGGTTGTTTGTCTCGTTTGTCTCTATGTGGCCCTGTGATGGACTTGCGACCCGTCCAGGGTGTACCCTGCCCCTCGCACAGTGATTGCTGGACATGGGCACCAGCGACCCCCGTGACCCAAAAATGGAATAAACGGGTAAAGATAATGGATGGATGGATATATATATATATATATATATATATATATATATATATAATATATATAGACATATACATACATACACACAACTTCAAAATAAATTCTCACCCTACACTGAAAACAGTTTCAGCGTCTCAGCGCCAACAGCTGGTGAGAGGTGGTGACATCAATTTGAACCCTGCCCACTGGAACCGGTACTGAAAGCATAATGGAAACACAACCTGTACCTTACCGAGTAGAGTCGTGCTGTACCGGTACTACAGGTACTAATGGAAAAGGGGCAGTTGTTGGTTTTAAGCGGCTCGAGCGGTGTTATTTTTAGCGTCGTCTGGCCACTTAAGAATTTGGAACATGTTAAGTTTTTCATCAAACTGTAACGAAACGCGTCAGGATACAACTTTTAAAACTTGTCAGCTGACTAGTTGTCTGTTTGGTGAGTTTAGGTTCTCATGATTAAATAGTTGTTTAGGAGAAAAACATATATATGATAATGGTATGAAATCCTGATCAAGTTTATTTATAAAGCTCTGTGTTTGAGAGTAAACCTGATGATGTGTGGATGAAGACTAATCAGGTCTAATGTTACCTCACTGGAGACTCGGGCTCTCTTGCTGCTGGCGGACTGATGTGCATCAGGGACGACCTCTGCCAACCTTTTATTGACCTCTGTGGCTGCAGGAGATCCTCCATCGCGTCTTCGAGACGGTTCACAAATAGTAAAATCCACTTCTTCCTCCTTAACGTCTCGGACGTGTTCTGTAAACAACGCGAGATTGAACAAAATAAATGCAGCGACACCACCACGGCAGCCGTGGTACAGGTGCGAGGGACTCACCTTTTTCAAGCATCGCTTCTTCTGAAACCTCTCCATGCTCACAGGAATTCATAGCCTGGAAATAAAGTTACAAACACATTGTGTTACTAAAAATATAAAAAGTGTCACGTGATCCAGCGGAAAGGAGGATGAAAGTAAGGATTTTTGGTTTCTTGCTCCTCAGACCCTTGACAGATTTTGGTTATTTTCTAATAAATTAAAAATTCTAACTCTGTACAGAGCCAAACTACCGTGCCGCCACGAGTTTTATTTTGAAACAAGATGTCATTAAACCCTAAATAATGGAGTCTGTTGTTCTCACTGAGCAGGCAAGCTCTGACCATGTGACAGATATCATGCATGTCTTACACTTAATGTAATTTTACAGTGAACTATAAAAGATACATTTTTATCTTTGAACGTTTAGACTTCACGTCTGAAATGGCATTTCGATACCGTTCAAGAATTTTTAAATCTCTGACTGTTCACAGTTCCCATTTGTTTGAGCCTTATTTTCTGTCTGTCTGGGCAGTCTGGGATTGAGAGAGTGTGCCGTTGCCATGGTGACCACAGTGAGCCACTGGCAGCAGCTTCATCATTGTAGTTTCAATTTAACGTTGCGGCACGTGACTCGTCTTTGTTACACAGTTTATTGGCAGTGGCGCCTCCAGAAATGTATTTATGGGGGGTGGGGGACCATGAAAATCCTGGGGTGGCACACCAAAATTAAAGGTCAGAACAGAAAATAACCTGGACAAACCTTACGTTGGGCTTTTTGTCCTTTTCCCTAAAAAAAAATAAAAAATTGAATGTACATTTTTAATTTGAAGGGGTGCTTTGAACAAAACATTTACTAGAAACAAGTTTTCTCTGGATTGAAGCCACGGCTTCCAATTACGTTAAAAACATTCCATTGTGCTTGTTGCTGTGTTTTTGTAAACAAAAACAAAAAAACGAAAAACAAAAGTATATTTATAATATATATATATATATATATATATATATATATATATA